AAAGTTCTTGTGGCCTGAAACAATGTAATTTATTCAAATTTCTCATTTCCCTATTGGTTTTATGAGTTGTTATTCACGTGGACAAGCTTTACGTGGTTTAGAAGTAATTTTTGTTCGTATACAACTTCGACATGTTCTAAAGATATTCAAATCTCTTCGCAACTTGAAACCAAGAGAACCGTATATCAGATTATTAAGAGGAAGTAATGACGCGAAAGGAATGAAGTAGGAGAGACACTGATTGAGCTGAGAAATGAGGTGAATGAAATGAAAAGATACCTTTGTTTCATCTATAACAATGTTCTTATTCAAACCATTCGAAGCATTAGGCGATTCCGCTGAAACAGTCATTGGTGGAAAATAAAAATTGTCGATCTATAGTTAAAATCTGAAAACTGAAGAATTGGTAAAAACGAAATATCTAACCTAGCAACAGGGTTGTATAGCATAACTATCAATTATCATAAGATATATGTATAAGAGTAGATCAAAGGAGACGACAGAACGAGGCCAAGATCGATGTGTGTGTAAATGAAAAAAAGAAAAACTTCATGAGGAGATGAAGCTGCAAATGGGACGGCCAAGAAGCATGAATACTAAAAATTTTAATTTTCAAAAAGAAATATTTTTCTTTTCAAATAAAAAAGAAAAAAAGAAAGACGACGACGACAACTTAATAAGATGAAGAAAACGAAAATTTGTTTTTTCCAACAGGTAATTTTGTGAGAAAAAAGAAAGACTTGAGCTGCACTTCAAGAAATCCTTCATGCGAGCATTCAATCTTTTTTTTATTTTTAAAACACTCCAAAAGATATGAAATTATATTTTAAAAATGAATGCGTTATGAAAATGCCTGTGATTAGCCAAGCGTCGGAGCTTATGAAGAATAGATTCTGATTGTATCCAAGAATCTTATCCAATTCTTAGAAACGAATTGTCTTAACACGCCTGATTCATATTAGTTAAGCTGATCATTGTCAATATCCATAATAGGAAAGGGAAGACGTACACTTATTCGTCAGTTTATTTTATAGTTTCAAAGACAAAAAATATTTCGTAAATCTTTCAGAATATTTTTGTATTTTTCCAATTAATCCGAAAGACTCTCGAGGCTCTTCTCTGAAAACCAACTCCCAAAAAAGAAACATTTCCGTGAAATTTTTTTTTACATTCAAATTCCAAGTTCCAGCAATCAGAAGCAAAATGATTGGTCGTTATCCTGTTCGAGAGGAAAGTTTTCTAACTTTGAAGATGAAACATCGTTCAGTTCACAAATCAAGATCAAATTACAAAACAAAATGAAAGAAGAAACACTGACAACATGATACATATCAATTCAAAAAAACAACTTTTACTAACCTTCAAGCGATTCCTCCATATGAGAGGTTTGCTCACTACATTCGTTATATTCAATACATTTACAGAAAAAAAGATTAAGAGAGAGAGAGAGGAAGAAAGAGACAAACTAAACAAATACGATCTATCAATTAAAGTTGTCTTTTTCCAAAAGTAATTTTTTTTCATCAGTTAAATTGAACTCTTTAAGCAACAGAATAAACTCATTTGCATCTTCATAGGCTGAAATTATTTGCCGAGCGGTTCGATTATTAGAGTAGAATCCTGAGTGGCATCTGAAACAGAACAGAAAGATAAGATAACTATAATTTCAGACTTACGATACAAATACTGCGAATCTCCTACCGATATCATCGGAAAGTGCTCTGGCAAAATCAACTTTCCCATTATGGGAATATAAACGAACATTCAAATTACGTTCTGTAATGAAATCTTAAAAAAAATACATTGCATGAATATTCAATAAGAAAAACTACTCTGGATCGCGAGGGAAGTTGCTCCCCACAAAATTTCACCGGCTAGTCGCCAATCTCGAACTTTAATGAAAAATTTCGATAGCATCATTAAACTTTCGGGTGAGTGGTTTCTCCCTGCATTGTACGATTCCTGAGATAATGATACCTAATATATTGTTAAAAAATTCACTTACTTCACAGAGCGTATCCAAGCAATCTTTCAAGTATGGTTCAGCTACATTCTCGTTTTCCCACAGGGCCTAAAATGCAAAATCAGCAAAAAATAAGAAAAAATAAAGGTATAAACAAACCTGGAAGATTTCTTCTATATTTTCATATTTCTTTAGTGCGTTATTCAGTCCTCTCTCCATCTCTACGATTTCATCTTTTCCATATACCGATTGAAAGTATGTTTTTAATAAGTTTTCTAGAGCTGTCTTTTCAAGCAATCGGACCACTCGAGGATCTATTCTGGAACTCATTCTGAAAATATTATAAAATTGTCGAGTCACTAACAGAAAAATCAAAATAGTAGGGCAAATGCGATCATGAAAAAAAAAACGTGACAAGCTGCCACAATACACCAAGAGAGAAAAGCGCGCTATTTTTAATGCGTATTGGAAAAATAATTTTAATACTCAAATTTCAAAGGGGTAAAGTGAAATATGCAAACGACTGATGCAAACTACAAAAGAAAAAGAATTCTCTTTTTTGTTCATAAAAGTTAAAATGTGGCCAAAGAATGTGATGTTAGCAGTCTCCCTCCTTCCTCTGCGTTTCTGCCCACAGTCGCATTACTCTCTCCTCTGCCACTCTAGCCTCCCGCATTTGCGTGACGGATGGCAGAAAAAACTGATGTTTTTTTTATTTAAAAAGGTGATTCCGTCTTAATCTAGAGTAGTTTTTCTTATTTTGTATTCATGCAATGTATTTTTTTAATATTTCATATCGGTAGGAGATTCGCAGTGTTCGTATCGTAAGTCTGAAATTATAGTTATCTTATCTTTCTGTTCTGTTTCAGATGTTATTTAGGCTTCTTCAAATGCTGCTTTTTACTATTATAGGTCTTGTATAGTAGCAATAGGTTGAAATGCTCGCATTAAGCATATTCATGTTAATATCAGGCTGCAACAACAGAACAGAATAATGTGATAGAAGAAGAAGTTGAACCGCTATCGGGCTGTCAATTCATTAAGGAAATGATTATAAGAGCTGTGATGTAAACCTAACCATGCAAACACACAGCCACAAGTAATAAGCTGTTTTCAGGAGAATCAAGTATTTCTACATAGATCCAAATGCTGCTTTTTACTATTATTGGTCTTGTATAGTAGCAATAGGTTGATACGATTTCAATTTATCTTATATATGATTAGTATTT